ATTTCATACAATCTGGATAATCAAACGAAATAACATAAAAGTATAAGTAAATACACCAAAGCACTCAATCTAGATTCATACTCATATCAGTTAGAATTAGATCAAAGTTTTTACTTAAACAAACTCAAATACATAATTTATCAAAGTTTGATAAACTTTCAAACAATCCCAAACAGTACCACCACGAATGATTTAGTACCACATATAATTCAGCTCATTGAAATCCTTTCAATCAATCTCAAACAGCACCACATATGATTCAGTTCAACTAGTTTGCAGCCTCATCACTCGTGACATTCCTTTAAAATTTTGAGGATCAACAGATCTATCAAGAAACTATGGTAAAATTCTATATTTGGTGGTTCGTATCGTCAAATATGGATTAATGATTAATCTGTCCATCTATGTACTCTTTACAAGTCCACAGTATAATTGAAAGAGCACGAGATCTGGTTCACTAATATAGTAATATTATCTTGACTCACGCACTCTTGAACATCAATTTAACACTTCGTTTTCTTTCAATACCGATCAAATATTTACAATTCAAGCAAATTAAAATTAGAAAAACAATTCGAACAAGCCCGTAAAAAACAACCTGCATAAGAAAGATTTGTTCGCAAGCGTTAAAACAAAAAACCTTCTATATGATGGCCATTTGTCCTATGTACGCAGCTCGTGCCATAAAGGACCAAGAAAGATGCGTTTAAACGTCTTGTAGCTTTGATCTCATATCTGTGGATTCACAGTGAGAACAATTTCAACAGCTAAAACTGACTATACTAGGGATTTAATACCAGAGATATCAAAACAATACACCATGAGGTATTATAGTTATGCTCTTAGGTAAAAGGATAAAAAAACTTAAATACTCCCACTTTGCAAAATCTTCCCAGTAATTTCATATTTCTGGCACTTCAGATATAACTGCATTCTAAAAATTCGGCATCATACAGGGATAACATGATTCAACAATCACCATATAACTGCATTCTGAAAATTCGAGCATAAATTAGACAGAGGACATGATGCCACGGAAGCCTGGTCGTGAATGGCCCCACTCAAGAAAGCCATAAACCTCCCAACATCCACAAATTTCAAACGAAAACCGTTAAAGGTTCACAAAAGTACACACTCTCAATCTAGAAACAGTTCACATATAAAGGCCAATACTGAATCTCCTGAACTACCTGAAAACTTTCTGAACTTAATATATATTCATACAAATGGACATGTATAAACTGCTATTCTTCAGGTTGCCAAACTCAGGAAGCATTTACAAAGCAATTAATTCGTAGAATGCGCTGCCAATTTTCTGGGTTTCTATTCAAACGTATTTTCTTAATTCTCTGAGTTCATTTCATAGCAGTTATTACACCCTATACCATCTTTGGAAAAGAGAAAAATGCCTTATCCTTAATAAGTTCACCCTCATGCTGCAATTTCACTACATGCATTGTGATTGAATGAAAACATTAACATACCCTTTCTTTATCAACTGCACAAGAAATTCGATATGACAGCAGCTAATAGGAAAGAATAAAGGAAGAAATTTCCCAAGGCCAGGAAACACAATTGCCGACAAGTTCAAAAAACGCAAAAATTGCTAAAGCATTTCAAGAGTGTACATGAATATTACCTATCTCCACTCAAAAGAACCTGCCCAGGCAACTTGGAATATACAATTCAACCAGACACCGTGCACTGCTTTCATGATCCGCGGCAAATCAGGTCAGAAAGCAAAGAGCCTACTCTTAACACCCTGAAGTCAACCGGATAACCCCATAATAGAAACCTCCCCTAAATTGTACCAAGAAAATTCTCTATCCCACGCTTTTAACTCCCTCATACCTGAATTGGGTTCTCTTTCTCCTCACGCTTTAGAGGTGAAACGGGAAGACTCAGAACCCCACCAGCATCATCACCATCATCAACACTGCATCCTGAATTACTCACCAACATCCTCACTTCCTTCTCGAAATCACCACTCTCCTTCGACCCATCCGAATCCCCATTCACAACACTGTTGTTCCTTTTACTCAAGATATCCCAGAAAAACTCGGTCAGCACATGTTCGTAGCTTGGCATCTTGGCATACCCTGGGAAGTAGTTGATATCAATTACGAGGTACCTGTTCTCGAGCCTGCTATCTCGAATCACATCGAAATTGAAGAGATGGAGGCCCATAGATCTCCTCAGTCCCCGCGCGATTTCTACCAGGAAGCTCATGGGCGGGTCCTCTGTCTTGCAGTCCTCCAGATCCATCATCATCTTGTAATATGTGTCCCGGCCCTTCTCGAGGCTGTTCAGGTTGGACACCTGGGAGAAGGAAAGGGAGCCCTTGAGGGTTTCGAGATTCTCCTCGTCCACATCCGGCAGGGATTTTCTCCGCACGCACTTGACGTGCTCACCGACCACGTACACCTTGAAGATGACCCCGCCGTGGTTCACAAACTCCTGGAGCACAACCGGCGGCTTCAGTTTGGCCAGGCCGTCCCGGTTGTAGACGAGGGACATCTTGTGGGATTTGGCGCTGCCGTCGGCCACGAGTGGCTTGGCAATCACGGGGAATCTCAAACCCTCGGCGGCAAGGTCCAGGCCGGCCACGGCCTCCGACCTGTAGACGGCGATCTGCTTCGGGATCCCGAACGAGGCCGCGCAGTCAGCGAGGGTGAGCTCGGTCACGACCTGGAGCATGGTAATGCGGTTGTGGAGCCGCTCGATTGCGTCCGGAGGGTCGATAATCAGGGCGCGGGGGTGGCGTGCCGAGTACTCCGCCAGCTGGCGCCGCCACTCGGCGCCGTAGATCTTGTGGAGGACCAAATCGAAGGGGCCCTGCTCGATTAGGGGCCTGCCCAGATCGATTTTGATGAGATCGATGCTCCTCTCGCGCGCAGTGTCGATGAGGGAAATCTGGATGAAGCTCGCTTGTTTCTTCGACGCCAGGGCGTAGCCTACCGCGAATCTCCGCCCCGTCGGCTCCGCCATTCGAATCTTTCCTTGGTGAAATCGGTGGTTTTCTCGTTCCCTTCGATTGATGGGAGCGTGAAAAAACTCATAACAAAAATTCGAAAAAGAAGGAAAAAAAGAACCCAAACGATTAGGGAATTGGGCTAAGGGCAGCTAGGTTTGATTACAGTATCGGAATGAAATTTAAGCGTTCCGTGGGAATACAAAATTATGCATGTTTTCCTTGTGAATGTGCGCAGAGAATCTGATAGAGGGCAAATAGAGGTGACGGAGAAGGGTAGAAGAGATATATATAGGATGGAGTCACGTCACCGTAATTTTAATTACATAAAAATGGATTTGTATTTGTATTTTTTTTATTTTTTTTTTCTCCAAAACCGCAGATTAAAAATTTCATTAAATCATAATAAACTACAGTCAAGGGATTGGAACCGGTGGCGGCAACTTTCATTGGCGAGGTCAGTTGGGACTTTGGTTTTGAATTCTGCTCTCCCTTTTGTCTAGAGTTCGATTTGGGGCTCATGTCGGGGCTCGAGATGCGTCTTCCTGTCAGATCTGGCTATCCGTTAGTGGAATTGGAGTTTTCATATTTGGGGCCTCAAATATGTAGTTCTCTTTGTCGGTTGTTGGTTTCGAAGGTTTGTCTGTGTGTTGGAATGTGGGGCAGTAGCGGTAAGATCGCTAGAAGTANAAGTTTTTCTCTTGGCAGAGTGTGTAAGACTAGTGCTATTAAATTAAACGAGTCTGACTCGACTTGTTAAGATTCGAGTTCGAGTTCTTTTAAAGCTCATTTAGCTCGGCTCGGCTCGGCTCGGCTCGATAAGGCTCGAAAAGATATTTTTTACATAATTTTTTATTGTTCGGCTCGTTAAGGCTCGAGCTCAAGGCCTTAACGAGCGGAGTCCTCGAACTCGAGTTAGAGCACCTTAAGCTCGAGCTGGACTCGGTTCGTTTATAGCCCTATGTGAGTAAGACCAATGGGGACGCATGTTTTTATTTATTTATTTATATATATATCCTTTCCAAAACAAAAAAACCAAAAAAAAGAAAAGAAAAAAGCAAAAAAACCAAATGGTTACAAATCACTATCTTATACTAGCGAAACTAGTACCTGGGAAAGACCAACTAACATGGTTCTTCCTCAACAACCAATTTTGCTAGTTCCAAACAAGAAAACCCCATATTTACATCACAAACAAAGGAGAAACAAGCAAAATTATCAAGCAAATGGTAGATATCCTCAACAATAATCCGCATCGAATGATCAAACGTTGCCTTGTTGTTCTGTTTGATAGCTATATTCCTTGACATCCACAGTGCATGTTCAAGTAGTCCATCATTCAGAAGCAGCAACCTCAAGAATCCAACTCACAGCCAAGAGAGGGGGCTCCACTGGATTTTCGGCAAAATCCCTTCTATTCATGCAACACAATGCCGTTCACCGCAACTTTACCACCAAATCCACCCTTAATGGGTTGTACAACTTCACTGTTTTCATCATATTCCAACCACTCCTTAATTGCTCCTGAAACCATATCCCTTTAATTCATCAGTCACCATTAATGATCCAGATGTTCATAGTCTTCCACAACCACCACAGAAGGTAGGTTGAGAGGCTGATTCTAGCCTTCAAACACTTGGTATCATGAATAAGGCAAAGTTCTTCCCACTAGTTCTCGAATGATTATTTAGGCAGCTCCACTCAATCCCAGCTAACTTCTAGCCGGTTTTTGCTCTTGGACATTTGAAAAAATGTGCTCCTGATCCTCCTTGTCCTCCCCACAAAACTTGCACACCGATTTATCTCCCAAGCATTTCTTCTGCAGTAGAGATTTTGTCCCTAAATAAGCATTTCTTCTGCAGTAGAGATTTTGTCCCTAAATAACCATGCCAGCTTCTCCACAACAAATTTTAATTTTTCTTTTTATAGGTAATGACCCAAGTAATCATCCACATTATTTTTCTGCATATTATAGACAAGATGGGATTGTTCACGGCTTTGACAGGAAAAATCCTCTTCTTATGAGAATGTCAAATCAATTTATCTCTTAACCAAAGTGGATTTGTATTAAATTAACAAAATCTTGTTTTGAAGTTTTGATGATATGGTATTGTAGGGTACATCGCAACTCGTGCCCACACCATTTTAGAATCGACCTCGACACACATTCAATTGTTGAATCGATACACACTCATACAGATGTCCATGTCTTGAATTAATGAAAAATCAATCACCAACCTCTTGTGTTAGAATTCTTTTAGAGTTTTATCGCAAAATCCTATTGTCGAAAAGGGCGTATCATAAACTCGATTTTGGCAAAGATTCATGTCCGAGTTGTCTCACCTATCACCGAAAAGGAGGCGTCTAACCATCCTTTGAAACAACCTATTGCCGAAAAGAGGCGGTCTTCATATCCTTTGAAGCAAAAACCGAGTATCGAGATACACGATCTTCATCGCAACCTTGGAGCTCGTGAAAATTCGAACAAACAAATTGCAATACCTACTTGAAGCCTTGAAGGACCAGTGTAGTTAAGCTTTGGCGTGACAACATTAGGACAATATCATCTTCAACAGAGATCATTCAGAACTCGACTTGACTTATTATTTTGTCCAATTGTATAACTTCCCGAAATCATGAAAGTCGTTGCAAAATTGTCCAGCAACCTCTAGTCCACCGTGAGACAAAGTTAATCTTAACCAGAACATCAAGAGTAAAACTATAAGTTACAACACCAAAAGGTTTCGTATTATCAAATAATATGTGCAAGATAGATGTGTACCATTTGTCAGTATCTGTTTTCCTACTTTATCCAAAAAAATGAATAAAAAAGCTAAGGTTCTTGGTGCTGTTGTTCGCTCGATTCATCTTCTTTGCTTTCAGAAGCTGCCTCCTCAGTCATCTTTTCACTGAATTTCAAACGAATTGGTCTTCCCAGCAATTCCTACATTAACAACATCGAGAATATAGCTAGCGTTTATTACCACTGAAAGGAATTCTATCAAGAAATATAATTTCAAAGAATATAATGCAACGTCAGATCATAATCACCAACGCGTGGTACAAGGCTAAATGTTTTAGAAAGCTTGATTGAGCAAATTCCAAAAAAGGTTGTCTTAAGATTGCAACATAGCCAATTAATAATAATAATACTAATAATGAACCGTACTCTCATCAGCCATCTATATTCATGTACAAAATGACCGTGGGATATGAGCAAAATCACAAGATGAATGCAAAAGCATCAAAATTAAGTGTTAAAATGAGAAACAATGAATAGTCATTAACCGAAAAAATGAGTGCTCCAACAATAAAGTAGTCACAGAGGATCTGATTACATGGAGACCTAATGTTTCTCCTTTTAATACTATCCTTATTACAGTAGCAAGACCACTAACATACATATTTATCATCAAGAAAGATGACAAAGGTAGTAGAACTTTTATCAGTTTTCAAGATGCTAAGACGCGTTGTACTCGGCCGAATCCAAAACTTTTGTATGTCTTCTTCACGGAACATTTCATAAGTTGCAATAACGACAACAATACTAACTAAAATATACTCTGGATCTTACATATTCACCCATCTAATCATTTTACCTTAACAGTACAGTAGAGTCATGGATCATAATTTTACAAAACATAACTATTATTCATTCTCAACGAAGAAAGAATGTATGAATAGTAATTCACACTACACTACACTACAAGACACAACTATTTGCCAAAAAAATCTGTTTGAGATTCAATTGAATTCAGTTGCAGATGGTCTCTATAAAAACTTTTAGCTCACTATTTATTCACCAATTCCAAAAATTAAAATAGCATAATTTAGTAAATATAGTTATGTAATATAAGCGAGCATAAATAAAATCATAACCCATAAATTAACTAACAGAAATGATTATCAGGAATAACTACCATCTACCAAAGAGTTGAAGTTATTCAGGCAAGTATATAAAAGCATGTAATTAGAAAAAATTAAAAGAGGTAATAAGTAGAGTTTGTTACCTTCCCATCTAGTAAAGCAATTGCCAATTCTGCTTCCTCTTTTGTTGCGAAAGACACGAACCCATATCCAGCTGAACTTCCTGAAGGACTACCAAATACGACTCTAGCCGAAACAGGATTGAAGTCAGAAGAAGTAAAGAAATCCCGAAGATTGGTGGACCTCACTTTCCATGCAAGATTGGACACATAAAGCTTATATCGAGTTTCTCCCTGTGGAAGGCTCACAGGATCTTTTCGAAGAGGTCTTTTAAACTTCTTGGAAAACTGTACTCTGATAATCCTACCAACCAATTCCTGCCCAAATGCAACACTAAATATCAATATTCTCCAAAAAATACATAATAGGAATTTTGTTCTTTCTGACAGAGAAGCTTTATGCCCTGAAACTTAAAATATTGGAGTGAAATGACATAAAATGTGCATTCTATTATTCCACGAACATCACAAGAATTCATACTTCAAGACCACCAATAACTTTCTAAATCCATTATTCTCTTTACCATAGTTATTTTTACGTGCTTCGTCAGAATGTGGATCTCCCAATTTTAACTTACTGTCCTTTAGCAAGTAACAAATAACCGTGTCATAACATCACCTCTATCTTTATATTAGCATTCTCCCACATATGCATATCGAATTTCACTGCATGAAGTTGTCGCATATATCTCACATGTAGTGTCTATTCTGTATTTTGGTCATCTTCAAATTTATTCTGAACATAATGTCAAATTCTCTAGCTCGGTACACATATCACCTCCAGCTATTCTACTCATCCCAATTATAAATGAAACCTTAAGAACAAATCTTTATTTCAAAATCAGCCAAGTGTTTCTACAAATAAACTAAACTTGCCCACAATTACACCAGCCTTGAATAAATTACTAAATGTGCAGCAGAGTAACAGGAATTTCAGGACCAACTTATTAGTATACAAATAGAATAACATCAAGTTAGGGGGAAAATCTTGAACAAGTACAAAAAAAAAAAGCTCACATAAGCGTCAAATTTCTCTATTGCAGCCAGAGCTTCTTCCCCAGAAGCCATTGTCACAAATGCAAAGCCTCTATTTTTCCCATCTTTATGCTTTATAATCTGCAATTTTTACACAAGATATCAAGAGCCAAGAAGCACAATGACTAAAAAGAAAATTATAAAGGAAAGTTCATTCACCATTCTTCTTACCTCAACGTCTTCAACAGATCCACATTCACCAAACAGCTTCTTTATATCAGCAACAGAGTAAGACCAGGGCAAGTTGAGCACAAAAAGCTTTCTTTTGTTCGGGGCCTTTAGGGATTTTTCCACCGGTGCCTCTACGGCTACACTTTCCGCAGCCGCGTGCAATTGGAAGCCATGGTTTCCGGTGGGCCGTGAAGGTGGAAGAAGATGGTGGCCGGAAAGAGTGGATTTCAGAGAAGCCGCAGGGGCAGAACGGGAAATGCGGAAGCTAATTGAAGAGTACAAAGGTCCATTGAAGGACTGTGATTTGGGATAAGGCGAAGGATAAGATGGGATTATGGAAGTTGCAGCCTCCATCGCTCCGAAAGCCATGGCTGTCTTTGGATCAACCCAAAATAGGTTTTTTTAATATATGAAACTCTGAATGGAGAGGAAATGAAATCAAAATCGAAATATTAAGGGGGTGTATTCAATTCGGAATTTCAGTGACATTTTAAGACTTTTTGAGATTTGAGACTTTCTAGGCTTTTCAGATTTTGGAAGAATTCTATGAAATCTCAAGTCCGGAGGTAGGATTTGAAGTGGGATTTCATATAAGGTTTTTTGTTTAGAAATCCCACAAAATCTTAAAAAGTCTTAATAAATCCTAGTGTCAAAAAAATTAAATACCTCAGGATTTTGTAAGACTTTTGAAAATCCCAATTGAATACCCCAGGATTTTTAAATGTTTTAAAAAGTCTTAACAAATCTAAATTGAATATCAAACCACTGATGATAGGATTACAATAAAAGAAAGTAATGTGGAGCAATTGAGTTATCAAACCATAAAATGTTATTTAGTACAATTTAGTAAATAATAGTTTTTTGTGATAGCTAGAAACTATTGATGATATAACACTCTTAATAGCTCGGTGAATAGTTTAATAGTCGTGGTGAATAGTTTAATAGTCGTTAGCTAGCCGCTCATAGTTTAATAGTCGTAGCCGACTGAAAGCTACGTCCCATTCGTCTTCACATTGTCATGCACGAAAACAAGTCTCAAGAAATTGAAAACGTAAGAATATGCATCAAAGCATGAAAATCCATCTAAAGAATAAATATGTCGAAATGCATATAAGTGTGACGAAATATTACATATATAAATACGCTAATAAATATATAAAATGTGCACTCTTTTTGATTTATAATTAAATTTTTCAAAATCTTATTTATGTTGAAGTGTCACTATACACAAAATAAAATTCGTTTTATCTTGAAAACATTTGTAAAAAACCGTGGGCATTAATCGGTGGTATTTTCATTTTTCGTAGAGCATATTTCACGTGCCTCAACTTTGTTCATTAATTTGAAATCTTTGTTTGAGTTTGTTCGAGAATCATGTTCGTGGTTTTTGTTAGTTTTTTAATTGAGTCGTCCGTCATCATTTTCCATCCGNCAATGAGAAATATTTTAGGTACATAATATTGCACATAGAGATGTACACAACACACATATTAAGTTATTCGGTTTTGTGGTACTATTGTCACATCTACGTGAAACTTATGAAAGTTTACTCTAAAAAAGAAGGAATATAAAACTTTTCAAGCCATAGACTATTGCTAAAACATTCGAGTATATATCAACAAAAAAAATAAAGAAAGAAAAAAAATTCTGAGTTATGTAATCGTTGAGATTATAAAAATTATTGTTCAAAAAGTATGATATATCTATTCGTCTAATCGTTTATATTCCAAATGTAGATGGATAAATGATAATCGATTTTATTGTTTTATTCATGTTGGCAAGTTTATGATAAATATGTTTCCATATAATAGAGATAACCAAATAGATCATGGAGTACTTTATCATATTCCTCTATTGGACTCATTATTCCACTGCAGAAATGTTTTTCAGAGTTTCATCTTTTTTGATTCTTCATTAATGTGATGTAATTCTTCAAATGTTATAGTTTTCTGTATAGTTAAATTGTAATTGAAATGCAACAAAATTTTATTGATGGCCAGATCAGCATTACATGGCAAAACCACAAAATTGAAAGCAACAAGAGGTCCATCCCAATTAAAAACATGCATGCACAAGGGTTAAAAAATGATCAAATTTCCAATTCAACTTTTTGCAATCATGTCACAACATACTTAAATATATCAACTAGTTCATATAATATTCTGCACTCAAGTTTTAGATTCTTTT